AAGTTCTTACAGTATTTGGGCAGAATTTTACAGGTTTCATTTTTAATCTGCTCATCCCCCCCTTACACTGGCTGACTGAATGTTTTTACATGTTTCATCCTGAAAATGAGTTTGAAAGTGATGCATGAATGTGAAGGATTGACAATATTGACATTAATGTGAACTTTAATATCGCTTCTGTGATAAAGCTTTCTGAAGGTGGAACTGAATTTACTTTTCGACATTTATGTTTTAAAACTGCAGTTGCAAAGTGACAGTAACTTTCTCGAACATCTGTTGTTTGGCCAGAAGCAATGAATTGTTTAGTCCAGGAACATAAACTGCAAATATTTATGTTCCTTTTTTGTAGCCATAGTGTTGTTAATGCTATTTGTCCTACCACTTGGGGTGTGGCAGCTCCTAAAAGTTTAGCAACTGTGGGAGCATGCGGGAGCGGGTGCTGCTTGTCAGCTGGCTGTGTGTGCGTACTGGCTTGTGGTGAAAGCCCGTGTCATCCTGGTTCCTATAAATCACAGCCCCTGTCTTGCGGCTGCTTTTCCTCGTGACACATGCATACAGCACTGGCAACCAGTGGCCACACCAGCTCAGCCTAACCCACTTCTCTGGGACAGACCTTTTCTCTGCTGGAGGGAGCAGCTCCGTGAGGTGTGTTGGTGGTTACTGCGGTACCAGAAGTGACACATGTTACGAGTTCAGCCCCTGCGGGCTAGAAGTGTCATGAACTCTGAACAATCAAAAGTGTCATTCCTGAGGAGAGTTTTGTGTTACAGCTACTAATACATAGATGTTGAAGTGTACTGGAAATGAGAATGCACTAAAATACACAGCTGTATGTTATGCTGATATATGCAAATATGTATTCAAATACACCTCCGTCTTTTTGTTTTGGCATAAGGGGGAAAGGATCAAATGTGGTGCGAAGAAAGCTCTGTAGAGCTGTAGTTAGGAGAACTGCCGTTCTTACAAAGTAGATCGATCACGTATGTATGTCCCAAGTGCTTGTCTGTTTTGCAGGCAGAATAGACAATAGACTTTTCATTAAAAAACCCAAACCAAACAAACCAACAAAAACAAACAAAAATTGGTGTCACGGTCTTGCAGGACATACTGTCCTTTGTCATTAGCCTTTCCTGAATTGTGGGTTTGGACAGAGATTCACTGTTGTTTGGAACTCTCGCTGAGTGATTCCTAGGCTGAATCTGAGGTGGTGCCTCTTAGTTCTGATTCTCCCAACAGGCTTGCTTCCGTGGCACCTTTGTGCTTGGGATGTTGTGTTTGTATAACAGTGGCTGCGTCTGTTTTCAAGACTCTCTCAAGTTATGAACTACCACTAATTTTTAGAAAAAGAAGTTAGCAGTGAATTTTTTTAACTTTTTCCTCATTTTATGCCTGTTGTTCCCATATTCGCATTCCTGGATTGTGTGTTGCTTTATTTGCTGAAGACTTTATTCCGAGGTTAACACTGCTGGATGGGACTGACCCTAGTTAGGATAGGTGTAGATTCTGAGATTTTTTTGTCTGGGGCAGAGGTCAAAATAGCATGCTAGCTAACTTTTGAAAAAGGACCTTGCCATATGTTCACGTTTTCAGGGCTTTTATGCAGTGTGTGTTGTCATTGTTGTTTTAGTTTCTGTGGCTTTTGCTTTTCAGAGGAATCTGTGGTTTAATGAAGCAGGTAAACATATTGCAGACATACAGAGCTGCTCACAATAGCAACTGTAAAATGTTTTTACGTACAATGACACTTCCGTTGGTGTCATACCTGAGAAGTAATTTGTCTGCAGACGGAAATTTTGATGACATGGGAGCTTTAAGTGATTTTGGTAATTAACTGCAGTTCTTTGACTTGATGTTATAGAACTGTGTATTTGGAAAAGCTGTCGTCCTGTGTTTTTCTGCACTAGTAGTATTTTTCCACGCCAAGGAAGGCTTATAGACAGTCATAACCTTTAGCATGATTATCCTCAGAGGAATTGTCCTCATCTGAAGCATTTTAATCATTAGGCAAAAAAGTGTTTGAGAACTTCAGATTGCTGCTGGAGATGACACATTCTTTTGCAGCGAGCACATGTGACTGCATGTGCAGTAGAACAACCTTTGTAAATGTATTTCTAAGGTTGTTTATGTTTAAGCTGCTATTTTTGCCCTATATTTGCATGCCTTCCTGGTTTGTATCTGCAGTGTCTCAATACAGTGGTTGTTTGTTGGGCAGGCGTTTAGATTGCTAAGAACAGGGAGAGAAAACAATTGATTGGCCTACAATGTCAATAACAATATCCAGTGACGGTGATAAAATGGGCCCATTGTTGTGATCAATGATGCACCCTACTAATTAAAAATAGGGTTCAGAGGAATGTAGAGGATGTTTCCTCAGGTCGGGCTGTGTATTCAGGTATTTCTGGTACCTATTTGTTACATACAGAGACTCACCCATCTTGTCATGGATTGAAAAAGATCTTCTGTTAAGATGTGTTAGCGCTTTGAGGTCAGCGAAGGGCAGTAAGGAAGGGTGCCTTTTTTCATGCAGGCTTTGATATGCAGATCTTCGGAATTTGCTTCGTCTATATACACCTCTGGTAAGAAAGTGTGAGCTAGGAGAGATGGAAGGCAAATAGCATTCAGAATATTTGCTTTGTGTAAGTGTCTGGTGGAACCTGCAGTTTTAATACCTGTAATTTAAGCAATTTTTTATAAGCTACTGATGAAAGGGAGCTGCCCTGCCTTGGTGATAACTATGTAGTCTGCTTTTAGACCTTTTTCTCAACAGATACAAGGGGTTTTCCCTTAGTTTTACGTGGCAGAAGATGCAAGCTTTTTAGTTGATCAAAAGTGCTCCAATGTGTCCTTCTAGAATATCTCTCTATCATTTAGAATAGGCTGGGGGTAACTTGATTTATTTGTTCTTACGGCAGTAAATAATATTAATCTCAGTGACACACTCAGTAATAAACTTGCCTACTTTTTCCTTCTGTCTATGTAGTTCTCCAGTGGCTAAACATGCGCTGTGATGGGAGTGCTATAATAGGTGTTAAAGATCCTGCTTTGCAAAGACCCAAAAGCAAAGCTAACTATTGAAACTGGATATAAATGCTCAGCTCTACAAAGCTTCAGCTTTCTTAAAAGCTGTCTGAATGTAATTTTTTTCTGGTGTAACTGTTGGTGTGTCACTGTAGTTAGTGACATCATCTGTGTAGAGTTCTCTGACAAACCTGTCCCTGATAATGCATATAAATTTGTATAGCATTATCTTGTGTATGTGTTTGTATTTTTATTTTTTTTTTTAGGCCAGGACTTGGATTCAGAGACTTCCCAAGAAATACTGGTTAGGGGTGCACTTGCATCAGAGGCACAATTAAAGCTAAATAAGGACAGATAGAGACAAGCTCTAACCAGTTCTAAAAACTTTTGAAATAGCTTTTCTGTGTTTTGGAGGAAGAGGTTAAAGGAAATTCTTTAAATTTCATGCATTTACTTGTAGAAGACTTTTGCATTTTCCACTTCTGTTGTGATCTAGGAACAACATCAGTGCTCTGTAGTTTAACTGAATTTACTGCTGTGTAAAGCATAGAGGTGTTTGAAATTAGAGTGAAAAAGTAACTTCTGATCTTTAGAAATGCAGAAGAATATTTGGAAAAAAAAAGATATTTGTAATTTGATTTTTCTCAGGTAGCTTCTAGCAGAGCAATCTGTTTTATGGAGACGTTGGATATTTGAATAAGAGGCGCAGTTACATGAAAATATGTTGTATACTTATCCATGGTTA